CCTGTCAGAGTGCCATTTCCTGGTCTCTCTCATTGCCTGTGATGTGATATTGTTCATTATAGCTTATGCTTTGCCATTATTTTTATTTATAATCTCTGCACTGTGCCCCATACAGTGTCTGGCACACAGTAGGTGTGCAGTAAGGCTTATTGCAAAAATTCCCGAGAGTTTAGTAAGTAGGAAAACCAGTTTATCAAAATAGTACATGCTGTATGGTTTCATTTATATAAAATGCTAGAAAATGCAAATCTGATAAAGTGAACAGCAGTTGCCTGGGGATGGGCAGGGGTGCAGGAGAGACGGAGGGGTGGAATTCCAAGGGGTGCAAGGAAATGTTTGGGGCCATTAGAAATGCTCATTATCTGTATTAGGATGATGGCTTCACTGGTGTATACATGTCAAACCTCATCTAAGTTTATACTCTATTAGAAGCCCAGCACGCAAAATCGCACGAGACCCAGACCTGGCGCGATGTGGGACCCAGAGTCAAGTCCCTCCTGGTGACCGGTCTTTGGTCGTTATGGCGTTACGACCACCGGGTTTTTACTATATAGATGTGTGATTTGTTATGCATCATTGGTACCTCCGTAAAGTTATAAAGGAGAGACACAGAAATAATGGATGGACTCTGATTTAGCCTGGATTAAGGCAGTACCCAGGAGGTAGGACCCTAGGAGTGGTCCAGCATGAGTCACGTGTTCTGTTCTGGACCAAGGACTAGGGATGGAGGGGCGGGCTAGGGTCCCAGAAGAGCTCAGAATTTGTGTTTTCAGAGGTGGCAAAGGGTCATTTCTTGTCTAAGGGTTGGGGTGTGTTGGGCAGATGACCACATATGTTCACCTTCCTAGTGAAAAGGTCACCTTGGACATCTGGAGATCTGTATGGGATTGTTGCAGAAGTAAAAGTGATTTACAATGGAATGGCTATTGGAGATGCTGGAGAAAATGGCTAAGAATATCAGTAGTTGTATTTAAATCTCTAAGGTCTGGGGGATAAATGGTGATGGAAGGAGACTTGAAGTGGGGGAGGGGTGCTGAACACATAATACAGTGTACAGATGATGTGTTGTGGAATTGTGCACCTGAAAACCATATACTTTTGTTAACCAATGCTACTCCAATAAATACAACAAAAAGGAAAAAAAAAGCCCAAACCCCCAAATAAATCTCTAAGGTCTTATAATAGCACACTTTATGAGTTGTCTGTATCTCAAGTCACACTTTCTGCTTGTCTTGATTTCCTTTCCTATAACTAATTAACAGAAAGGATAGTAAATGGACACAACCATACCAAACAACATTGGTTGGCAGGAAATGTAGCATTCTAAATATAAACGTGAAATTTGTGTTATGGTCAAACTGTTCCCTAACATATCAGTTGCATCAGAACAAACTCACACGTTTCAGGCAAGTGGCAGTAGCAAAACTGTCTGCCCTTCGCCCAAGCCTTTCTCAACAGAAGGAAGTTGAATGTGTGATGTTTTCTAAGAGCAAATCACCTAAAGTGGGGTTGTCTTTTCCTTGGCAGTTACAGATGAGAAGTAGAAAGATTTCAGATTTGGATATTGAACTGTGAGTTTACTTGTCACAGAGACAGTTGTTGAAATGTAGATACTGCTTCACCTTAGGAACCAAAGTTCCTATACTTTTTTTCCTCATATATTTCCAACCTATATACTTTTAAAACCTTATTTTCAATCTACATGAGGACTTTTAAAAGAGAATTTGAAGCATCTTTAGTAAATATAAACTAATTCATAAACTTTTTTGAATACTTACGAATATTCATGAAATAGGTCTCTGGGATTGTGGTTTGCCTTACCAAAAAAATTGAACTTCAGCCTGGCCTGTGTGGCTCAGTGGTTGAGTGTTGACCTATGAACCAGGAGGTCACAGTTTGATTCCCGGCTGGGGCATACGCCTGGGTTTCCGGCTTGATCTTCAGTAGGCTGTGTGCAAGAGGCAGCTGATGGATGGTTCTCTCTCATCATTAATGTTTCTCTCTTTTCCTCTCTCTCTGAAATCAATAAAAATGTATTTTAAAAAATTACTATATGATCCAGCAATTCCACTTTGTGTATATACAGTGGGGCCTTGACTTACGAGTGTCCCGACTATGGAGTTTTTCGAGATACGAGCCGTCTCTCGGCCTATTTTTTGCTTTGAGTTGTGAGCTAAAATTTGGGTTACAAGCCAGCTTCAGATACCCCACTGCTAGTTGGTGCAGCGAACGTCACAGTGAACGCCACAACATCAGCCCAGCATCACATGTCATTGTAATGGTGAAAATTGATTTGATATACGAGTAATTTGAGTTACGAGCTCCGTCACGGAATGAATTAAACTCTTAAGTCAAGGCCCCACTGTACCCTGAAGAAATGAAAGCAGGGGCTCAAAGAGATGTGTGTGCACAGCAGCATCATTCACAGTAGCCAAGAGGTGGAAGTAACCCAGGTGTCCATCATTGATGGATGAATAGACAAACAAAATATGGCATATACATACAATGGAGTATTATTCAGCCTTCAAAAGGAAAGAATTCTGACACTTGCTTTAACATGGATTAACCTTGAGGACATTATGCTAAGTAAAATAGGCCAGAAAAAAAATATATGATGATTCCCTTGATGTACCTGGAACAGTTAAATTCATAGAGAGTAGAGTGGTGGTTACCAGGGGCTGAAGTTGTGGGGGGATGGGGAGTTGTAATTTAATGGGTGTGGAGTTTCAATTTTGCAGGCTGAAAAGAGTTCTTGGAGACCGGTGTGCTGATGGTTGCACGGCAATAGGAATGAACTTAATTAAGGTCTGAACCGTATACTTAAAACTGGTTAAATTATTTATGCAATTTTACTACAATAAAAATGAGTAAACAACCCCCCCCAGACAGCTTATGTGTTTTGCTATAGGTTGGTCACCACATTTCCCAGCGTTCCGTGGGATGAGCAGATGAAAAACTGGAAGCTGACAGGCGTGTGCCAGTGGGTGTCCCACCTGCTACACTGCCCCCTGAAAGGCTCTCGGCTTCCAGCTCAGGGTGGCTGTGTGGGAGCCTGGCTCTGGCTAGAGTAACAGAGCTGTCTCTCCATTTCTTTGTACAGTTGTATAGTCTTGCTGTCATCATCCATTAGGTGCAAAAGGAACTCACATTCTAAATTCTTACCCAGTCCTGTTTCCTCTTTGGGAAAGTGCATAACTGACTAGTCAAGAGCCTTCCATTTATATTTTGGAGTCTATGGTTTAGTCTGCTCATTCTCTTTGTGAGTGATTGGCCTTCTTTTCTCTTGCCTTGTAAGTATTGGTTTTATTCTTAGCACTTCTTTAAGGGGTTGCAGGGCGTGTTGCGATCCCTTTTAGGCTTCTGATGTTCCTCTGTGTATTTAGAGTGATGATAAATTAAACGTCCAAGTTTTCTGGTGATGATGTTCATGTGAATAATACACTTTCAGTCCAGCAGGGGGGTGGTGGAGGGTGAGGGCGGTGGGGCGGTGGGAGAAGAGGGAGAGAGAGATGGAAACATCAATGATGGGAGAGAATCCTTGATCGGCTGCCTCCTGCACGACCCCTACTGGGTATCGAGCCCACAACCCGGGCATGTGCCCTTGACCAGAATCGAACCTCGGACCTCCCAGTCTGCAGACCGATGCTCTATTCACTGAACCAAACCCGCTAGGACTGTTTAGTTCATTTAATAGGAGGAGGGGGGCGGGGCGGGCAACGGGAGGGAGGGGTGAGGAATTCCAGAACAGCTTTCGGAGATGTGCTGGCTATTAGTGATTTTCCATCGTGGTCGTGTTTCCTTGAGAGCTTTACATATTCTTTTCTTAGGTCGTAGAAAGGGAGAGGGGCTTCATTGCCAAGGCCATTTCTAAATATAAACTTCTTATTTCAACAGGTTGTTAGAACTTCCCTTGGAAAGTTGATTTGCCAAGGTAGAGCTTTTAGGCACACTGTAAGTGATCCCCGCTTTACTAACTTCGTGCGGACAGTGTCACGTGGCCATATTCAGAAAATAGCATCATCTGATTATGTAAGGCCAGAAGGTCTTGGGTGTTAGATGCCCAAGAGTGTGGAACTGCTGGCTTCTCCCTTCCTCAGGACTAATTCATGTCAACGGGCTGCCCTCAGGTTTCTAAAATGTTACTGTTTCCTGTCCTCACATTGGTTTTATTTGCAAAAGAAAAAAAACACAGTAAGGTTATTATCTCATTCGTTTCTTTACCAAAATTAATGAAGAAATGGAATTAGTTAATCTTGTCTGTTTGGGTTTTCAGTAGAGTCAGCTACATCTAGATTGTCATTGGGCAATTCATTCACTTGTTCCTTTCGTTCGTTCATTCATTCATTCATTCATTCACTCACTCATTCATACACTTGCCTTCATTAGCCTGGAAATTCTGTGTGAGGATGTAAAGGCTTAGTTTGAAGTTACTGTAATGTGACAGCTTAATTGGCGACCATGAATAGGCTTCAGGGGTCAATCTCCCTGAAATTTTCTGCAAAATCTGTGTGCATTTTTCTGGGGAGAGGATTCAATAGCTTCTGTTAGGTTTTCTAAGGGATCCAAGCCGCAAAGCTGCGAGGGACCTTCTGGGATGCTCGGAATTGCTGCTGGACCGTCCCGGGTGGAGTGGTCACCCTGCTAGATTAGTACCTTTGGAGTATTTCAGGTGGCCCTTGGAACGCAAGTGAGTAAGGTGGGCTACTCCTAGTCAGAAAGAAGTGAGCAGAAGGGAAAAGGGAAGTACCATGGACTCTAAAGCATTGAAATTATGAAGGCTTGAATTTATTTTATTTTTGGAGAAAAAAAAAACACTGTTCTCCATTGCAAAGATGGTATCTTCAGACTTCTTGAAAATGATGTAATACTTCGAGCCATGTCGAGGAAACTGAAGGCTGATGTTGCAACGGGATTTATTTCACTATTGTACCATCTCAGACAACCACCTGTCATTTTCCTTTCTTAATGTAGTCATTTTAAAATCTAGGTGGAGATGATCGATGGGTAATGATGAATAACTTCTGCAGTGATAAAATAGCAACTGTTTTAAGATTTTGGGAAAATAAGATCACTAAACATCCCATATTGCATTTTTGCTTTTTAAAGGGTCTGGTGGACTCGTGGAAATTGTAAGGTAAAAGGACTTTTTTGGAAAAGCTCCAAGAAAGTGTACAAGCCATGAAATAACTACCCTTACTGAGATAGACCTGCTTAAAAAATGAACTCTAAACTATTGTTGGATGCTGGGGACTCTGGGGCTAACCACATTTCTAATTAGCCATATGAAGGAACTAATCTGAATGGTAAAGATTAACATATGAAGATTCTTACTCTAGAAAATAGAAAAAACCTAAATGTGTAACATAGAATAATAGGTTGATTTGGCACAGTATATTCAAATCTTTTGTAATGATTTAACGTTACATTCTCAGAAAGTCTGTAATATAGGAGAGTACAGTCATCACAGAACATTACATTTAGAGAGCAGAATACAGAGCTGTATACACAGTGTGAGGTCAACTATGTAAAATATATACTTTAAACCATTTTGGCAGCAAATACATAAGATGATAGTAGTTTTTTTTTCTGGGTGATGACATGATTTGTGATATTTAAATTTAATTATCTGTTTATCTTTTAAAATCTGTATCTGACCTGTATTATCTTATAAACAAAACAAATCTTTTTATGACGTTGAAGCTAATATTCTGTTTTAAGAGCAGTTTTGTTAAGATAGTATTTACATACCATACAATTCACCCACTTACTGTCTCCCATTCAGGTTTCTAGTATATTCACAACTACTCTTCAACCATCCCCATAATCAATTTTAGAACATTTTCATCACTCCAGAAGGGAACTCTGTACACCCATTAGCACTCACTGTATTTCTCCCCATCCCACAACCCTAGGCATCCACCTCTCTCTATGGATTTGCCTGTGCCAGACATTTCCTGTGAATGGAATCACACACACGTGGTCCTTTGTGACCAGCTTCTTTCACTCAGCGTCATGTCTTCGAGGTGATGCCGGATCACTCTGTTCGCTCATTTCATTTAGAAACTAACCCTTATTTATCACGTAGCGCAATGCATTTCTTTTTTGTTTACTTCTAGAATTGGTGCCTTCAATCATGAGCAATTTGCTGAATCCGGATGCCATTTTCTCCAACAATGAGATGAGCCTGTCGGACATTGAGATCTATGGCTTTGATTATGACTACACCTTGGTGTTTTATTCAAAGCACCTCCACACACTGATATTCAACGCTGCTCGGGACCTTCTCATCAATGAACACCGGGTAAGAGCACAGGGACATGTCGCTCTTCCTCCCCAGCCCTCTTGTGTGAAGAACAGCCGTGGCTGACCTGACCTGGTCAGTGACACAGGTGCCACTTAGAAAATTGCGGCTGAATGAATGAAGAGATTTTGTTCTGTTCCATTAACCACTTTATTGAGTTATGATTGACATGTTAAAAACTGTACATATTCAATGTATACATTTCCATGAGTTTGGGGATAAATATACAACTGTGAAACCCGCACCCCCATCAAGGCCATAAACTCCATCACCTCCCTGACTCTCCTCCTGCCCCTTTTATTATTATTATTATTGTTATTTGTGTGTGTGTGGTAGGGACACTTCACATAAGGTATGCCCTCTTAGCAGTTCTTAAGTATATAGTACAATATTGTTTGCTCTGGGTACCATGCTGCATAATAGATTTTTGGAGCTTGTCTTGCATAATTGAAACTTTGTATACTCAAACCTTTACGTGTCTGTGAGTGGAGACTCACCCGCAGATGTTTGAGCTCTCACTTCTCGCAGAGCAGTGACATAGCTTCTCCTGAGGTCTGAGGATGTGGCAGCCTGCTGAGTTCTGGTTAGAAGGAATTCTTCAAAGGAGAGGCATTGCGCTTTGTTCTGGTCCCAGCCTGTCCACAACCAGTGTTGTGACTGAACCAGCCTTATGGTTATCACGCTTGCAAGACACCCTTACAATAGCCATTAGGAAACTTCCAAAAGATACAGCTTTATTACTTACAAGACCTGGAAATTATACCACACGCCTGGGGTCCCACAGCGAGGTGGGAGGCAGAGAGAGGGCATGTGTGCATGGGCCTGGGTTCCGCTTTTATTTGGGTCGTGGGTAGGGGGGCCGAGAGTGTCCTGGGCTCACTTTTTGGTGGTGAATCTATAAGAGCTGATTTTAAAGCCCGGGAAGAGAACACAAGCAAGTAACCCAAATGGTCATTTATTGAAATCAGCCATGATCTCTAAAACAAAGGAACTGCTGTAAGGGGAGGCAGCCTGGCTCTCGATCCTGTGGCTGGTGGTGTGTTTATTCCAGATTTGAAGAGGATGCCTCTTTGAAATGGGTGACTTGGAAGTCAAACCTTAAGTCAGGCACTTGCATTACAAAAAAGAAAGAAAACTGTCAGGGCTTACACGATACAATTTTTTACCCTCATCACTGACTGAATTGTGTTCTTTTATAAAGAATATTTGAATGTCTTCCGGTGCGTAGTATTGTTGAGATCTGAGAATAAGGAAGGAAAAAACCCACACTCAAAACCTAGCATGTGTTTCTCTGGTCTGGGTTGAGAACACATTTCAGGAACCATGATGAGAAGCATCCTCAGAGGTCATCTGGGCTCGTGTCATTGGAGAACCCCCATGGTATCCCATGAAGTACCGCTCGTATCTCCGTTACTCCGGGAGACAGTTCTGATTTGGGGGAGATTCTTCCATGGGTTCTTTTTATCATCTTGGTCACCCTCCAGTGTGTGTGCTCTGTTTTATTTATCTCAGATGTGAGGCCCTGGACTGGAGATGTTACTGCAGGTGGGGTCTGATAGTGTGGAATAGAGGGAGACCATCACCTCCCTGATTGTGGATACCATACCTTTATTAATACTGCCAAAGTTTCTATCAGCTCTGAATCCTCACCATTTGATGCAGTTTATTCCCTTCAGCTTTTGGTTATCAGTGGATTTAATAAGCAACTCATCTTGTCCTATTTTAAAATGCAGAAATGGTATTTGCCAAAAATAACTTGACCTCTGCCACTAAGCCACCGGCCATCTTTCTTTAGTTATGTCCACCTTACCAGATGTCACCCCATCTAGCCACTTGCCATTCAATAACATTTCTCTACCCCACTGGAAGATTGAGCTGAAGGGGTGTGGCTGGGTGCTGGCATTCTACTCCCAGGCCATATGCTGAGACTTTGCTGTTCTACTCCCAGGCCATATGCTGTGACTCTGTTATCGCTCACAAAACCTAAGTCGTTGCTAACAGCACCGTCTGCTGCTTGTCTGCTGGGTACCAAAAGCCCAGGTTCTAGAACTTGACTGCTGGGATTCAGATCCTGGCTTTATCACTTCTCATCTGCATGACAGCCCTGCATATAGATACTGTCTCTGTTTTACGGTTGAGGAAACTGAGGCTGATGGAGTTAAGCCAGTAGGTCAAGGCCACGAGACCAGTGGGGGGCAGAGCCAGGATTTGGGCTTAGATCTGTTCATTTCCAAGGCAGAAATGTCTTCTTCTCTAGGCCCATGTTGCCCCTTGTGGGATTAATAACCCCACATTTCTACCCCATGGGTTTATTGTTCATAGGAAAATAAAATATTCAGGAAAATTAAGAATTTAGGAAAATAAAAAGAATTATGAAATTTGTGGGGAAAGAGAGTTGAAATAATAGATGGGAAAAAAGTTGCAATGATTATGATTAGAAAAGCTTCTAGATTTAAGGCCATGAAATTTCACTTCTATTATGTATGTTTGTTGCTTGGATAAAAGAAATTATAACACTAATTATACAGGCATATTAATAGAGTCAGTTATGCTTGTACAGCTTTTTCTTTTGCTTTGGATTTGAAAATGATTCTTCTAAGATGCTGTTAGAAGCACTGACTTTGGTGCTGTTGTTCCTGCCAAAGACTATGTGTGCTTATAGAGTTGGAAAGACATCTGCGCTTGAGTGCACAGTAATAGAACAGGAAGTGGACAATTTAGCATCTCCCCAAAAAGCAAATGTACAAGTTTCAGCTCCTTAATTACCCTTTTTCTTTCTTTCTCTCTCTCTCCTTTTTTTTTTTTAAACACAAAGATAGAAGTAGAAAAGATTGGGTAATAATTATACCCTCATTTCATATGTCCATGAGGGAGAGATAGGAGGGGAGTGTCAGAAGAGTTCTTGATTTCATCTCCTAAATTTGCACCCTCATCTGTGTTTCCCAATCCGTATTTGGCAGTGATGTTCACCTAGTTTTTCAGTCTAAAGCCTAACATTGGCCGTGACCCCTGGCATTTCGTATTTCACCTCTGATTTCTGCAGCAAATGTTGCAGGTCCTCGCTGTCTCTCTCTCCCTCTCTCTTGTTTTGTAAAATAATCTTTTAATTTTAGAAGAGTCTTAGGTTTACAGAAAAGTTGCAAAGGTAATACAGAGATTTCCTGACTGTATACCCCATATCTGGTTTCCCTTAATATTAACGTCTTACATTTCCATGGTACATTTGTCCCAAGCGAAGACCCAATGTTAATAACTGAAGTCCCTACGTGATTCAGATTTCCTTAGTTGCTCCCTAGTGTCCTTCTGCTCTAGGATCCCATCCAGGACCCCACGTCACAGTTAGTTCTCATGGCTCCCTAGGCTCCTCTTGGCCTTGACAGTTAGCCTTTCCTTGTTTTTTGATGACTTGCACAGTTTTGAAGAGCACTAGTTGGGTAATTTTTAGGATGCCCTTCTGTTGGGATTTATCTGATGTTTTTCTTGGGATTTGTCTGATGTTTTTCTTATGGTTAGATGGGCTGAGGGGTTTGGGGGGCAAGACCACAGAGGTAAAGTGCCATTATCATCACATCTTACCCAGGGTGCAGGCCACCAACATGACTTACCTGTGATGTTGACCTTGACCGCCTGATGGAGGTCGTGCTTCCATGTCTCTGCCCTGTTCCCCCGACCCATCCTTCCCATGCTGTGCTCTTTGGGAGGCTGTCACTCTGTGCAGCTGAGAGCTCTCTTGTCACTCGTGCAGAAGATACTCATTCAACGTGTGT